AAGTTGAAGTATTTCCTCAGCGACCAGCATGGATCAGCACTAGGCATGACGAAGCAGTTATCGTCCTCTTTTGGAAGGCCAAACAAAGTAGTTTTGCTTTAACAAAGAAACACTCAGAGCCTTCACGACATGGCAGCGGCGGCAACAACAATACTACAGCGAGAATAAAAGTTACGCCTTCTTTTTGGGTGACGTTATGCAAATCTTCCCACATCGTGATGTAGATATGTGGGGGCGTGTTAGAATGAGCCGTTTTAGGAGGGCGTGGTTGACTCTTAACTTTTATAAAGAATATCTCTTTGGATTTGAGACTTTAGTCTTTGCAACTTTACAGATCTTCTTTATGCACCAAGAGCTTGAAACACTCCAAATAGAAAGGAAAAATTTAAATCACATCATATGACCCCTTTAAAGCAAACGTTATCATTCAACATGCATGTGCGTTTTAGACACTTCTTTCTTTGTGCGGGCATTCTAGTTTATTTATTTCAGCAGTTCATATAGGATAGTAATGTAAATGGTAAGACCCCTTTCAGGGGCAGACAAAATTAAAATTTAAAATTAGTCATAGCTATAGAAATGTATCTCCATATTATAAAATCTACAAAATATATTTCTGCAAGTACATATGAGACTACCCCCAACCTGCACATACCCTGCATATTGACAGCATCACACAGCAAAACAGATTACAATCAACACAATTTTTGTCGACTTGCCGTTTCCATTGGTGTAAGGTCATTTGTAAGGTTAGGTTTAGATTTAACATGGGCTGTGGATACATGATATTTTAGTAACAATATTCAAGGCTAACGGTTATGAAAACAACCTAAATTTATATATTCTTTTTCAATTTATTTATTTGTCTAATTGTGTTCTTTTTCAAGGCTTTTCATTGAAACTTGTATTTTATTTAACTTTTCATTTTAGTTCAGTGTGTAGGGAAATATCATAATTAATTGAGAACAACCCATTGCAAATTTTGAGCAGCGTTTTTGCAGGCTTAAATGGCACTGCAAGAAGGGGACGCCACACTTTGTTCCAAACGAAAATGTGCAACTTAACCAGAGATGGTCTTATTATGACTTAACGTTACTAACTTATGCATGAAATGCTCTTCATCAAGACCGTTAGTGAATGCTATGTGAGATGGTTTCTTCAAGGAAGTAATTTAACATTCTATGATCATGTGGCCCTGGTTAAAGAAGGTGGAAGATCTGAAGTTGTTTTGTGGTGATATATTACACACATTTTGTCATGCATGAAAAATATTTCATAGTTTAAATAAGCTTTGTAGGCAACAAATGTTTAACACTACATACATTAGGTAAATATAACTACCTGTTAAATGTACAAATGTACAGTGTTTCACAGTTCTATTGGATTATAGTTGTCTAAAGCGACTTGAGCAGTTGAAGGTTTCTAGGGATGTATGAAACTTGTAATGCTAATGTTAATTAACCATTGAGTTTTTTATTCTGGTTAGCGATCAACTTGACCCAATTGACCTATAAGTAAGCCCCTCCCCTCGAATGCAGATGAGCCAATGTCAGTCGAGTATCAGTTGCACGGGGAACGGAACTCAGACATCTTTAGGTTTCAGCGCCATAGAGAAACATTGGAAGATCCGAAGCTTGCATTGGTTTAATGGTATTTATGCTAAATCCAACCAAAACAGAGCAAAATGTCCCTAAGCATTCAACCCCAATCACAATGAAGACGAATACGTTCATTTTCTGGTTGTCATACTCTCCTTAAGTTACACTTTTCATCTGCTCAAGCAGAACGTTAATGTCATCTTGTGCTTCATCAAGGTATTTCTGGCTAAAATTAGCTAACGTTAGCTTTAAAGTTAGTGAGTCCATGCTAACATACAAACCTTAGTAGCGAACTGTTCTCACGTCATGTACCTTGCAGAGAAAGTCAAAAACACAAAAACGAAGGTCTATATTAGAGTGCGTCTTCATATTAATCTGGTTAAATGTAAATTAATTTAATCTTACTCTGCGGTATATGAACGGTGTTGATCCGGGATGTTGTCATCGCGATCGTGACGACCTTGACATAATTCTCCCGTTTGCATTGTGATCTGTATTTTTACAAATTTATTTTAACATCCTTTATATATCCCTCCATGGCATATTTAAGTCCCACTTGAAGGTCCATCTGTGTCCCAATTTTATTTTATAAAACACCTCGGAAGAAGGTTTTCACTGACAGCTGTCATTGTAAGACAGTGAGCAACTCTGTCTGTTTGTCTGAGTGAGCAACATTAACTAAGGGGGGCGGGACTTACCGATAGGTCAATTGGCAATAGTTTTAAGCAAGGTCCTGGCAAGGATAATCTATTTGCAGGGCAGGCCTAATAGCCTCATGGAGGGTTGCAACCAAGACCACCAATGCCATGGCAAAAACCCTTTAGTTTATGTCTGTTGGCTTTGATGACATTTGTATACTAATGCTGATAAAGGTAGCAGATCAAAGAATTTAAAATTTGGTTTATTTTCTGAAAGCAGACCAATAAATGTTTTGAAGAGGTATTGAAATATTTCACGTCAACCGACAACTTGGTGTCTTGTAACTGGTGACACAAAGGGTATGTAATACATTTGAATTGGTTAAATGATGTAGTGATATTTGATAAATTGATTGATTGATTGATTGATTGATACATGTTTTGTAAAGTTTTACCCTTTTTTTGCAGATCCAGCATGCCAGCAAGCAAATTACAGTAGACAAACAATACAAAGGTATTGTAGACTGTATAGTACGTATTCCCAAGGAGCAGGGCTTCTTGTCCTTCTGGAGAGGCAACTTGGCCAATGTCATTAGGTACTTCCTAACACAAGCTCTCAACTTTGCTTTCAAGTATAAGCATAAGAACATTTTTCTGGATGGTGTTGACAAGCATAACCAGTTTTGGAGGTACTTTGCTGGTAAACTTGCCTCTGGTGGTGCTGCTGGAGCCATGTCCCTGTGCTTTGTCTACCCCCTTGACTTTGCCAGAACCTGTTTGGCTACTGATATCGGAAAGGCTGGTGCAGAGAGAGAATTCACAGGTCTTGGAAACTGTTTAACAAAGATCATTAAGTCTGATGGTCGGAAGGGCTTGTATCAGGGCTTCAACGTGTCTGAGCAAGGCATCATCATCTACAGGGCGGCTTACTTTGGCATTTATGACACAGCAAAAGGTGGGTTTTATTAGGAATAGACATAAGGCAGATTGCCCCTTAATTGTGACTTCCAGGGCCATGACTAGAATATCTAACATTAGGGACAGAACTAGGGCTGAAAATCACAATTATTTTGCTCAAATTTGTATTGTGATTATTAATCCAAAAATGTTCATTTGAGTAATATCTTTTCACAGTTCAGTATAAGTATTGCACTTTCACTCACATACTTACATTTATTTTATTCCACATTTAGCTTTTCTATTAAAACAGCATCAAAGGTGCATTTATTCAGCAACCACATTTGCAAATAATGTAATCGAGATATATGTTTGGATCAATTACAGTCCATCACAGAGGCTTGGTACCAATTCACTTTAATGGAAATGTGTATAAAAAAAAATAAAAAATGCCTGGCCAATATTGCAGACTTTACTAAGAGGAGCATGAAACCGTGACTGTGATTAGAAAAAAACAAAAAACCAATGAGCAGCCCTAGGCTGAATCCATGGACTTGAAAAAGTAATTCCAGTTATTCCGTGTAACATGTTTCAAGGAAGGTTAAATCTGCTATTTCAAAGTCTGTTGTAAGTGCCACACTTTCTGCTGCCATCAATGTGATCAGCGCCCATGATCAAACATATACAGGTGCATCTCAATAAATTAGAATGTCGTGGAAAAGTTTAAGACTTTAAAAGTAGTTTAAGTCTTTGGTTCTTTTAATTGTGAGGATTTTGGCTCACATTTAACAAAAACCCACCAATTCACTATCTCAACAAATTAGAATATGGTGACATGCCAATCAGCTAATCAACTCAAAACACCTGCAAAGGTTTCCTGAGCCTTCAAAATGGTCTCTCAGTTTGGTTCACTAGGCTACACAATCATGGGGAAGACTGCTGATCTGACAGTTGTCCAGAAGACAATCATTGACACCCTTCACAAGGAGGGTAAGTCACAAACATTCATTGCCAAAGAAGCTGGCTGTTCACAGAGTGCTGTATCCAAGCATGTTAACAGAAAGTTGAGTGGAAGGAAAAAGTGTGGAAGAAAAAGATGCACAACCAACCGAGAGAACCGCAGCCTTATGAGGATTGTCAAGCAAAATCGATTCAAGAATTTGAGTGAACTTCACAAGGAATGGACTGAGGCTGGGGTCAAGGCATCAAGAGCCACCACACACAGACGTGTCAAGGAATTTGGCTACAGTTGTCGTATTCCTCTTGTTAAGCCACTTCTGAACCACAGACAACGTCAGAGGCGTCTTACCTGGGCTAAGGAGAAGAAGAACTGGACTGTTGCCCAGTGGTCCAAAGTCCTCTTTTCAGATGAGAGCTTTTCAGAGCTTTTCAGATGATAAGTTTTGTATTTCATTTGGAAACCAAGGTCCTAGAGTCTGGAGGAAGGGTGGAGAAGCTCATAGCACAAGTTGCTTGAAGTCCAGTGTTAAGTTTCCACAGTCTGTGATGATTTGGGGTGCAATGTCATCTGCTGGTGTTGGGCCATTGTGTTTTTTGAAAACCAACGTCACTGCACCCATTTACCAAGAAATTTTGGAGCACTTCATGCTTCCTTCTGCTGACCAGCTTTTTGAAGATGCTGATTTCATTTTCCAGCAGGATTTGGCACCTGCCCACACTGCCAAAGCACCAAAAGTTGGTTAAATGAGCATGGTGTTGGTGTGCTTGACTGGCCAGCAAACTCACGAGACCTGAACCCCATAGAGAATCTGTGAGAAATGAGAAACAAAAAATGCAGATGAGCTGAAGGCCACTGTCAAAGAAACCTGGGCTTCCATACCACCTCAGCAGTGACACAAACTGATCACCTCCATGCCACGCCGAATTGAGGCAGTAATTAAAGCAAAAGGAGTCCTACCAAGTATTGAGTACATGTACAGTAAATTAACATATTTTCCAGAAGGCCAACAATTCACTAAAACAATTTTTTTCTTATGAAGTATTCAAATTTGTTGAGATAGTGAATTGGTGGGTTTTTGTTAAATGTGAGCCAAAATCATCACAATTAAAAGAACCAAAGACTTAAACTACTTCAGTCTGTGTGCACTGAATTGATTTATATACTAGTTTCACAATTTGAGTTGAATTACTGAAATAAATGAACTTTTCCACGACATTCTAATTTATTGAGATGCACCTGTAACACTCATTTTTATCTAATTACACAAATGCTAGGACAAAAAATAATAATCATCCTTATAAAAAATTGAATAAAAAATTTGGGCTATTTACTAACTGCTTGTTTTCTTAGAAAAAAACTTGCTTCTCTATTCTTTTTCGATTCTATTCTATCTATTCCTTTTCTTTTTCTTTTTCTTTATTATACAATTAGCAAAAGCAAAAAAGGCCTCTAACATTAGCTTGCTCTATTCTTTTTCTATTCTATCAGTTTTCTTTTTATTTATTATATAATAAGAAAAACCTTGCTATGTATGCTACACTAAGCTAACTGAGACTTATAGCACTTGCGTATCATTGCTCTTTTGTTGATTTTGATTGCTTCCATTGTCCTCATTTGTAAGTCGCTTTGGATAAAAGCGTCTACTAAATGACTACATGTAAACGTAATAAAAATAATCATTAGGAAAACAATAGGGATTTTGAGTTCTTGGGCCCTGACAACTCTATGTAAATAACTTTAGAAGCTTTCAGGACTCCAAACGGTGACTACAAAGTTCTGGCATGAAAATCTAGATAGCACAGTCCGATAGGTCTAACTCATTCTGACATAATGACATCATCACATGGCACAGCTGATTGGCACATTCCTGTATCAGTAGACAATGAGCTCGCTGCTCAACATTGGTTAATGACTGCTGTAGCAGTCCCAGCGCACTTCAGAAACCCTCCACCTTCCCCAGCTCCACCTGTATAGATCTGCTATGGGGTTGATCATGTGTGCTATAGCGTTATTCATATATGTTATATGTGCAACAGCAATATTTCTTACATGCTTACAGCAGCATGTTGTGAATGTATTGGCAGAAGCAAGTCCCGGTACTTGCTCTGCCGCAGCAGCAGCAGTGTAGCAGATCTAATCCGCCAAAACCAAATGCATTAACGTTACCATGCCAATCCCTCCAAGAGTTGTCATGACAGAAATATTGATGTTTTGCAACCTTTCTTCCTTCCAGTATGACACGGGTGCCACTGCAAAGTTGCCCAGACATTAGACATCTTTCAAATTAGTACAAGCTGGAACAGAGAGGGATTAAGGAAAAGTAAAAGCAAAGATTTTTTTCAATGAAATATTGACGGAAGAGATGAGTTTTCAGCTGTCACTTGAATATTATCAAGGATTCGGCATTCCATCAAAGATTCTGCATTCCGGATTGTCAGCATTCCACCAGCAAGGAACAGTGAATGAAGATGTTCTGGAGAGTGATTTTGTGCCTCTCTGTGATGGTACAACAAGGCATTGCTCACTTACTGACCTCAGGATTCTGGAGGGGATGTAGACTTGTGAAAGTGAGTGGAAGTAGAAGTAGTACAAGCCCCAACTTGTAGCCTGTGTGGAGAGATGAAGAGAGGTGTGATGACAAATTATGCTGCTACGTTCTTAGTTTACCTCAAAATGAAAATTCTGTCATTATATACAGTGGGTACGGAAAGTATTCAGGACTGGCTACCTATTAAACAACGTATAGATTTTTAAATCTTGCTTATTACTTATAAAGCCCTGAATGGTTTAGCACCTCAGTATTTGAACAAGCTCTTGTCACATTATAGTCCTTCACGTCCGCTGCATTCTCAAAACTCTGGCCATTTGATAATACCTAGAATATCAAAATCAACTGCGGGCGGCAGATCCTTTTCCTATTTAGCGCCCAAACTCTGGAATAACCTACCTAACATTGTTCGGGAGGCAAACACACTCTTGCAGTTTAAATCTAGATTAAAGACCCATCTCTTTAACCTGGCTTACACACAACACACTAATACACTTCTAATATTCAAATCCGTTAAAAGATTTTTAGGCTGCATTAATTAGGTCAACCGGAACCGGGAACAGTTCTCATAACACCCGATGTACTTGCTACATCGTTAGAAGGATGGCATCTACGCTAATATTAGACTAAGCAAGCCAGAGGCGACAGCGGCAAGGAACCAAAACTCCATCGGTGACAGAATGGAGAAAAAACTTTGGGAGAAACCAGGCTCAGTCGGGGGGCCAGTTCTCCTCTGGCCAGACAAAACCAGCAGTTCCATTTCAGGCTGCAGCAAACTCACATTGTGCAGAGGACTCATCTGGTTCCTGTAGTCTTAGTTGCTTTGACACAATCTGTATTGTTAAAAGTGCTATATAAATAAAGGTGACTTGACTTGACTCTCGATAATGGCGGCAGACTGTCCCGGGAGAGAAGAAAACATTGAATAAAGTCATTATTTTTGTTTTCTTTGCACACAAAAAGTATTTTCATGGCTTCAGAAAATTGTGGTTGAACCACCGATAGTCACATGGACTATTTTAACGATGTCCTTACTACGTTTCTGACCTTGACCATGGTAGGACCCTTGCTGTTTATGGAGGGTCAGAGAGCTCTCGGATTTCATCAAAAATATCTTAATTTGTGTTCAGAAGATGAACGAAGGTCTTATGGGTTTGGAACGATATGAGGGTGAGTAATTAATGACAGAATTTTAATTTCTGGGTGAACTATCCCTTTAATTATTTGTAGAGGTTTGATTGTACATAAAGGGAGTTCACCTAGAAGACCTTTGCATTAGTTCCACCTAGAAAAGGGCCTGGACAAGAAGTTGTGCAGCATGCTCCGTTAATGACGACCTGACCATGATCGAGTTGTCTTTGCAATGTGGTCCTTGAAGGTCAGCTGATCATCCAAGATTCTTCAGAGATTGCTGACCGAATTTGATAGGGTAATTGTTGATGAATCTAGCTGGATGGTGAAATTGTGCTGTAGAGTCAGGGAGGAAGGCAAGATGAGAAGTGCTGTTGATCTTCTTGTGGAAATATGAAGATTATTTGGTTACACTTTACTTGAAGGGGTGTGCATAAGACTGACATGACACCTTCATAATCATGACATGACACCTACATAATCATGACATGACACATGTCATGAATATGAAGGTTTTTTATGCATGTTTATAACAACTGTCATTAAGTGTCATTCGCTCAGTTATGTAATTTTTAATGCAAAAATGACATTGTTTGAGATGTCTTTGTTATGGGCTATGGTTAGGGGTAAGGGTAGGGGTAGGGTTAGGTCAAATAATGTCATATTTACATTAAAAATGACATAACTGAGCGAATGACACTTAATGACAATTGTCATAAACACGCATAACACCTCCTTCATATTCATGACATGTGTCATGTCATGATTATGAAGGTGTCATGTCAGTCTTATGCACACCCCTTCAAGTAAAGTGTTACCTTATTTTACTTAATCTTAATAATTTGTCTATCCACACTAAAAACAAAAATACTGTGCAACAATAACACCTTGAAAATATATTATTTTATTTGAGCAACTAATAATAAATTGTTAACCCTTAATGGGCAGTTGCATTCATTTTGGTATTTGTTATTTTAGTGTAAAATATCTGTGTTTTACAGACACGCTACCCGACTGTTAATAAAGAATAACAATTTGGTCCCTCAGTAAATTCTCTTTGCCACCTTGAAGAATTCTCAGTTACTTAAAGTGTAGACGGCCGGGAAGTAAGAAAACACACAGTCAAATGTATCCTCAATACTTCAATTTATTCATAGAAATACAGATATTATATAGGCATATGTCGAGGGGAGTTTCACCCTCTTAACCAATGAGGATATGAATAACATACACGTAGGATCTTTGGCCAAGAACATGTTTATATAAAATGGCCACATGTACAGAAAAACATGGACATATTAGGAATAGACTTTTGCGAAGAATGCTGAACTGTCTTCAGAGTTTCTCTCGAACTCCTTTACCCTTGTAGTCCTAACATTCATGTCCTCATTTGGGACATTTGAACCAAGAGAAGCTAATGTATACATTTAAGCATGCATACTTCGCATATAAGTAAGACATGTTTAAAACATAATATCAAGAGAGCGAGATGGATACAGAAGGGGGGATTCAGAGAGAATGCGTTGTATATATAAGAATGAGAGAGAGGGAGAAAAAGGAGGGGTAAGGCATGTCTGGAATCAACAGAAAGACAGAGAGTGTTTTCTAACACAGACCGAAATTTTTGTCAGTTCCAAAAATTCTCAAGTTCCACCCAAAATTCATAGGCCCTTTTGGTGTTAAGTTCAGTTCAGTCTTAATATGATGTTAAAGCAAATGAAAATATGCTGAAAATGAGTTACTTTATCAGAACATATTTGGAGAAATTTAGTAGCCTATTACATAATTTGCTCACCAATTGATCCTCTGCAGTGAAGGCACGTTTTATAATGGATTCGCTCACTTTATTTGACGACTTGTGGACAGTTGAACAGAAACACCCGCTGACTGCAATGATAGAGCTTGGAATAGCCAGGACAATTTTTAATAAAACTCCAATATGATTAGTCTGAAAGAAGAAAGTCATATACACCTAGGATACTTCGAGGGTGAGTAAAACACAGGCTAATTTTCATTTTTGGGTGAACTAACCCTTTAAAGTGATGGATTTGTTTCTTACAAACATGCAGCTTTTCGATTCACAAGGCGTTAATTGTTTGACTGGAGTGGTGTGGATTACTTGTGGATTACTGTGATGTTTTTATCAGCTGTTTGGACTCATTCTGACAGCACCCATTCACTGCAGAGGATCCATTGGTGAGCAAGTGATGTGATGCTACATTTCTCCAAATCTGTTCTGGTGAAGAAACAAACTCATCTACATCTTGGATGGCTCAATGGTGAGTAAATGTTTTTCAAATTTTCCTTTTGGGTGAACTATTCCTTTAAGTATTTAATTAATTCTAGCTGACATAATGTACAGTGGCACTATTGACTGCTGGAGGAAGATTGCACATGATGAGGGTGGCAAGGCCTTCTTCAAGGGTGCCTGGTCCAATGTGCTCAGAGGTATGGGTGGTGCCTTCGTCCTGGTTCTGTACGACGAGCTCAAGAAGATTATGTGACACTATATAAAATTTATTATTTAAAGAACAAGTTGTGTATTATGTGAATGGACTCTTTCTTTACTTGTGAAGCCTGACTAGGGTTGTACTAGTAGTTATATAAAAGATACATGTATATGATAATACAGTATGTGTATGTTTATAATGTTTTTCTTCTTTTCTTTTCTTTTCTTTTCTTAATGTTTCTTCTCTTCCCTGACTTACACTATTGCATGTGCAATGAATGAAACGGAAGTAATACAGCTGCAGTCTTTTGTTGTTGTTGTTCGATCTTAATTTGATTTACAATACCAGAAGCTGAGAAATATTTATATTTTAATGGTATTTTTGTTAATTTTATTTCCAAACCTAAGCTAAAATGGAATTGAATTTTATTTCAGACACAAATCTTGGTTATATAATATAAGAGTGCAATATATTTTTCACTTCATTATTATTATTATTATTATTATTATTAATAATAATAAACAAGAATTGGAATCCGTTTTCCATAGTGTGCTACGTTTTATTACTGGTCCCTTTCAAACATATCATTGCGTTTCATATTCTGAGCTGCCACCTCTGAACATTCAAGAGTGTGCACATTGGTTAGGTTTTATTTGTAATTTTGTTTATTATTTGACTGTTCTTTGTGTTTTGTCAAAAGGGAAGAAAGCCTTTAACTCTGATTAAAGGTTAGTACTAATACTTTTGAGACAACTTTTTGAATTAAACATGCAACATACTGTTGTTGTATAAGCAATGCAGCATATTACTGTTTGAAAGGTTTCACATGTTTTGAAAAAAAAAAATCAGTTCAATTCAGTTTAAGTGGTATAATGCTTTTTACAATTCACATTATTCCAAAGCAGCTTTAAGGGGAATTTTATGATTGGAACTATGCGTTTTAAACAAGCTGCAGCTTATAGTGGGTCATCTGTCTAAAAGTTTTTACAGTAATGCAGCATTGAAGTTATGAATGAACTTTTCAGCATCTTGAATAAGGATGTTCCATAACTGACCTTTAAATGACAAATTACTGTCAAACATGACACCTAAATCTCTAACTTTAGGAAATAGCATATTTGAACTATCAGTTTATTTATTATTATTATTAGTAGTAGTAGTAGTAGTAGTAGTATTGCAAAAATAGTACCTGTATCCCAAACACTCCTTTCATCTTCCATTGGTCAGACAAACACAACAAAATAGCATTTTTGAACTGATTTCATACATAAAAATACTAGTTGATTTGTGCTTTCTGCAGTCTCTTAAAATAAAGTTGTTTTAATTCAAATAACTTGTTCATGTCCATTTACATGTTTGGTAAATTGTTGTGTACTCAGCAGGATAATGTTCCTGATTTTTCACCAGAGTGACAAGATCTTGATTTATATGCAAGGGATAATGTACATTCATCCGGTCATTAATTAGAACCCAAATCACAATAAAACATTTTTGTGCATTACATTATTTCTTTTTATTTTATTTAGTCAGGCAAATAAAAATGTCTAAATGTTTGATATTGGTTAAATATTTTATACAGAGCAACTGAGCTAGTATAATTTAATCAGTATTGGATCATTCTTAAGCAATTAGGTATTGAACACTTGCCAGCAGGACAACAAGAAGTAACAGGGGAGGTGTGACAATCCTTTCAGCACTACTGTGTACATCAAGTGATGTTCCTCCTTCACCTGATAATTAGGAGACAAGTGTCAAACTGTTTAATAAATGGTGCATGGATTATTCCTTGCTTGTACGTATGTCAATAATTTGTGACAGCCTTTTATTTTTACATAAAATGTATAAAACAATATTTACTCACTGGAAGTCAATGTTGAAGACATCCCGTCTACCCAGAACACAGTGTGCTGCTGGGCTACAGTGGCCCTAAGAAATATTTCGACAAATATTAAAGTGTTTTGATCATTTTTGTGGATTATTTAAGGGGGGGGGGAGTACATTTTTACCCATTCTAGATTATGGAGATGTTATTTACATGCATGCTTCTACGTATTTATTGAAAAGGCTGGATAGTGTTTATCATGCTGCATTACGATTTATAACAAATGCTTGCTCACGTACTCCTCATTGTTTGCTGTATAATATCTTGGTGCTGTTTGGTGGGTATGTAAGGGTGGGGGGGAGTACATTTTTACCCATTCTAGATTATGGAGATGTTATTTACATGCATGCTTCTACGTATTTATTGAAAAGGCTGGATAGTGTTTATCATGCTGCATTACGATTTATAACAAATGCTTGCTCACGTACTCCTCATTGTTTGCTGTATAATAAAGTAGGTTCGTCCTCTTTATATCAAAGAAGAAATCACATATGTTAATGTATACTGTAAAGGCATTGTTGGGCATGCTTCCAAATTACATCTCTAGTCTTTTATGCCTACGTAGAAATAATTATATCACCAGATCTTCAAATGGGATTTAATTAGAAATACCCGGGGTACATTCAGAGCATGGAAAATCAGCTTTCTCTTACTATGCTCCGTGGTTGTGGAATGAATTTCAAACAGTAACTCCATTAGAAACTATTCTTTCTTTGAATATTTTTTTTAATTTAGTGCAGTGTTTAGCAAATGAACCATGTTGTTGTTTTAATTGATTTACTGATTTATGATTATTGTTTTTGCTTTGGTTCTATATAATTTTGTCTTGTGAGGTGTATGTTTGTGAAATTTTATGTGAAATTTTTGTACGGTCATCTTGGCCAGGACTCCCTGGAAGAAGAGATTTCTTTAATCTCAATGGGACCTTCCTGGAAAAATAAAGGATAAATAAATAAACAAAAAAATACGACATTTTTGGCTGTAGCTGGTGGAATCCAGGTATAGACGGTGGAGTTGTATTTTATGTTGGTGTTGGCATGGGTGATTGCACCTTGCTGGTTTCCTGAACACTAGGGAAGACAAGTGTACAACCTTCAGTCACTACAATTACCAAATTTAAAACACTTGTTGGTATACCAAATAACATATTTCTGAATGTCTGGTTATACCCCCGAAACAAAAAAAGGTTTTTATCTTATAGAATGACTAGATATGTAGTCCCTGATTGAAGTTTGCATAATTAGTCCACTTAGTGTTAACTGTGGTAACTATGAAAATAACTTTAATGTCTTTTCATAGTTACCACATAGTTTTAATTAATAATAACGGGTGCAGTTTGACAATTTCTAAATTATAAAAGGGGTTCTGTGTCATTTGAATCATATCTGATCATAATACATACTATATCATATATAACCATTGCAGTACGATAAGCATAATCTTTAACTCTACACACTCCAAAGCCTTACCGCTAAGAACTTTGTGTTAGTTGGAGGTGTCTGCCAGGTTCCTGTTGCTTTTGAGTCGAATCCAGAGCGAGCCTCAAGGAGCACGCCACTATAGTCTGGAACTTTGATTACAACTGACAAACAACAAATGAACAAACATTAAAACCATGACGCTATCACCACTGTCTTCATTTTAGGTGATATACTGTACATGCATTAAATTTAATTGCTTAATAATTCTTATAAATGCAGTTAAAATATTCCCAGAATTTGGCCTGAATGTATCACAAACTTCGTGGAGACTAAAATGCAATGAAAAACAGAGCAAAACAAAACAAAAGTAATCAAAAGTTTTGTTTCCAAATAGATTTATGGACAACACATTTTCAATTCTCGATTGAGTGGATTTTCCATATTATAACACTTCCTTGGAATGCAATTATGAATTGCATAACAGTATAGCAAGAACTCTGTAAACTTTGGATTCAGAGACGCAGATCTTGGAAAAATTCATGAATTAATTTACAAAATGTGTCTTCTAAAACAGTAGTGACCCCATCATATTCCTTACCTGTGATGGGTTTGCCAGTCTGAAAAGTTGTGGTGCTTGGATGGATGGTGTATAGAGCAGGGTTTGGCTTGGGCTGTACTCCTCCATGCCTGGGCATCATATCCACACAAGCTGTTGGTGCCCCGCTTGGATAGGACAGAACAGATGTCAAAACTTGAAGTATGACAACCCCAAAAAACACAGCATGCATGATTCCTGAAACAGGCTTTTTCAACAGCTCATTTGCAATTGTACAGTGCGAGACAACTAATTTATACACACTTTCCCAGATCATGCCGTGGACAATCGACTTTTGAAAGGCACTTTTGCTGAGTCACAACTGCATAAAAAATTGCTATTTCATGCCATCGCAGCACCCTGCCCCTCCCCCGCATAAAGTACTCGCATGGTGTCAGGTGGAATGGTTTTCAAAAAGAAAATAAGTCTTCGGTTTCTGGAATCTGTCATTGATCTGGACAAAGAAACAAAGACATCCTCTGTTAGGAAGGAAATGAGCATGGAAAATGTACATTTTCCTTGCTCAATTTATTCTCTGTCCTACTGTTGTAATGTTTGGGGGGTGGCATATAATATTGGGTCTTTGGTAAACAGACATTTTTTATTTTTTTTTTGCTTTGTGTAACATAATTTATAAAACATTAGGGTAAACGTACCTATTAAGCTCACCAAAGTCTACATTGAGACATTTTTTGTGCTCAGTTTCAGTACAAGAAGTTATGTTAAAATAAAATATTAATCTCACACACAATAATATTTAATTTGATTTTAAATGACAAAAGCATTTCAATTAAGATGTACATCATTAAATGCAAAAAGTCTGGCTGTGCTCAATGGGTAAATTTTTTGTACCCTTTAAGCACACCCCTGTTCCCATTAAGCTCACATCATGTTTTATTTAAAAATCTTGTTTATTTTAAACAAACTTTTTAAAGAACAATTGAAAAATGTTTTATTTGAATGTACAAAGTCAATCACAAAAAAACAGAACATTAAAATCAAGTTAACTTGATCATTAAATATATTCATAGTGAAGAGTCATTTAAGCACACTGCAACATCTATACTAGTCCACGTTTAGCTAAGCACATATTCAAAAATCAAATAACAAAACAAACCATTAAAAAATGTAATTCATGGGGATGAAACTAGCCTCA